TCATGAAATGAAACCTAGTATGAGACAGGCACTGTGTTGTGGTCCTCCACATCAACGCCAATCTTACCCAGTATTGCAGAGGACCTGGGAGTTTTAGAGAGCTCCACTTTGGACTTCTGGTCTTCTCCAGCTGCACTCCTGCTTTTGAGTAAGGAGTTCTTGAGACCAAAGTGTATATCCACCCTGCACATATCACCCCTCTATGCCACACTTCACGCCATATAGGATTCCAGAACTTTTGGCTCAAATCTTCCCAGGTTTGGAGAGCTGATAGCACTGATCTGTATGTATGGGTCTAAAAGGTGGCTAAGGGACAGATGTTTTCAGGAGATTTAGACAGTGTGTGGAAGTGAAGACTGGGTTCACTGCATGAATGCTGCCAAGGCCCCATGTGATGTAACATTGATGAAGATGGGGTGCAAAAAGAAAGAGGTGGACTGATGACCATTGCCTTTTCTTGTCTAAGACTTCACATTTAATCTGCATGACAGATCCATGAAGTAGATAGTGTATATGTTCACTTCAAATGAAGACATGCTAGGTAAGGCTGAGGAATATACTTGGAGCCACCTGGCTAGCAAGTGGCAGAGCCCTTATAGCCAGAGTTGGATCTTCTGATGCCAAATCCAGGCTGCTCTGCCATGAAAGCTATTCTTGTAAGGTCTCTTTTCTTTCTCTACTCCCATTCTCTTCCTGATCAAATGTGTCTACAAATTGCTATTAATTACAGATTCATTCCAGACCACCAAACTCCTCTTTTACGAGGCAAATACCTGCCTTTCTATTGTCTATAGTAACTGTAGACTGTACTTCAGATGACTGCACTTTGGAGAAATGGGAAAACTACAGGGGAAACTGAACAATGACAGTGTGGCATTCCATTGGAATGCAATGTCTTAATTCCAGGGCAGGCCAGTAGCTGGTAAAACCAAAGTTGCTGGCTATCTAACATTCTTATATTGCTTAAAGATAATTTTGTACAAACATGATTAATGTACAGACATAATTAACATCATCAAAGGGGAAGATGATAAGGCCAGTGGAGCATAAGCCCTAGATTTGGGAGAGCCAAGATTAAAACCAGGAACTTTATGAGTCATAATGTACTAAAAAAGATAGATAGAAAAAGTTAAATAAATTGGCATCTGAAAGTATTAGGGATCATACACATTAGGCTTATTTTCTGTATACCAAAATAGAAACAAAACACCTGTTGAGATACCTTTGGAAAAAAGGAAAAACAGGTCTGTTCTTCATTCTTACTAGGATAAAAGCCCCAAAACTTATCCCCTCAGTGGCAACCATTTTTTGGGACTTCTCACTGCTTCATGGGAGCTTGCTTTTCTTCTTTCTAATAAATTTCTGATTTACTATTAAAAAAAAAAAAAAGAGGCAAATACCTGGGCTAGCTCATGGTATGGTGGTTAAGGTGACTAGGTCTCATATGACTGACCAGGTGGTTTGAGTCCTGGACTGGGTGGCTTAAGAAACACACTGGGTACATGCGTATGCTTGTGCATGGGTAAAATCCTGAAAACACGGAGGGGTAGAGGGAAAGGGATTGTGACATGACTGTTCTCCATAGGAGTGAGGTACTATCTTACTTTCTGTATTTTTGTCTCTGGTAAGCACACATGCCCTCTGGCAAATTAAAAAAAAAATTATATATGTATAGAGGCCAATACCACTGATGACATTAAATGTTTTACTAATACACACCAAATTACTTAAAAAGACAGTTTTTCTACCTTCCCTTTCAATGTTAGTTTTTTCAAGATTTTTCTGTTTTGTCCTTTCTTCCTGTTTTCAAGCTCTCAGAGAGGATAGCCATTAAAGGCAAAGGGATATGCAGTTTGAAAGCCTTTTATTTTATTATTTAGTTTTATTTTATTTTTTTTTAGAGAGAGAGATTTTGCTATAGTGTATATGCACTTGCCAGAGAGACAGGCAAAAAGTGAGAAATCCCACCTCCCACCGCCCCCACCAGGGGCTATGGCCATGATGCAATCCTTTCTCCTCTATATCTTCATGGGATCTTGGGCATACATGCACATGTGCCCAGCATGAGAATTTTAAGCCACCGGGTTCAGGATTTGATCTGCAGTCAACTGTATGGGAGTTTAGCAATGTAACCATTATCCCATGTACTGATTCCTAAAAAGCTTTTGATAGCACAGTAAAATCATATAGTAATTGAAAAAAATGGTTTATTTATACTATAAACCTGAAGAAGAATATATATACCTAATGCAGGGGCAGAGGAGGGGATGGAGTGGCAGGAATGTTGGTTAAAAAGGTTGAGAGGCCCTGTTCCAGGCCATTTCCTTACAGTCCCTGTTTGAATGGCCAATACCCTGACATTTCTTAAATCTGCCTCCAGCTCAGACTGCTCTCCTGAGCACCAGACCTGACATCCTACTGCCCGCTAGACCTCTTCATGGATGTCCTATAGATGTATCAAGCTCTGCCAAGCTCAGGCTTGCCCCGATCATCTTCATGAGCTCCTAGCCACACTCCATTCCATTCCTCCCTATCTCAGAGTCCCACTCTACCCTCACGATCAGTTTGAGTCTCAGATCTGGTGGCTTGAAAATCATGCTAGTTCTGTGTGCATGCATGCCCAAAATCCCAGAAGGAAAATGGGTTGTGGTATGGCATGGCCATCCCCCTGGGGGCTGATTTCTCACTTTTCCTCTCTCTGTCTGTCTTTGGTGAGTACATACACCCTATGACAGTAACCTAAGAACAAAAACAAAAACAGTGCACAAGAGGATACAACTTGGGAGACATGCATATAAAGTACAATCTAGCCTTACTAGCAATTGAATAAATAGAATTTAAAACAATGAAGTGTTTTGGTCTACCAAACAGTAAAGATTATATAATAATAAGGCTAGCTTTGTTGTGCAAGGGTGATTTGCTGCTCTGAAGAGTCTAAGCCCTACGAGATGACCATGGTTTGGGACCTTAGTCTTTTTGGCCGGAAGTATACCAGGTACACATGTAGCTGCTGGTGATCTGATGGGCTGGAAGACTAAAGGAGAGGAATGCTGTCATGACCAGATCATGTGGAGGGTGCTCTCTCTCCCCCACTTGGTCTGTGCACATAAACTCTGTCACAAATGAAAAGAAAAAAAATTTTTATAATAATAACAACAGTATTGTGTGTCTAAAATAGATTTTCTTATATACTGCTGTTGGAAATGTAAGTCATTGAAACTTTTCTGAAGAACAGTTTGGGGAACCAGCAGTTAGCGTAATGGCTATGTCGCTGGACTCCCATGTAGTCAACCGTGGTTCATGTCCTGGACCCGGTGACTTAAAACACTCCGAGTGCGTGTGCATGCATGCCCAAGATCCCGAGAGGAGAATGGAGGAGAAGGGATTGCGGCGTGACCATCCCCCCTGGGGGGCGATTTCTCGCTTTCTGTCTCTATGTCTCTCTCTGTCTGTCTGAAGAGTGCATGTGCCCTATAGCAAAAACCTCTCAAAAAAAAAAAAAGAACAGTTTGGTGGTATGCATCAGAGAACCTTAGAATGGCCATGCATTTGACTTTAGTAACCAACTTTTCCAGAGTACTTACTAATATGGAAAATTAATTATGTATATTAAATGGAAAGACTATAAGTAGTATTTTGTCTGCATGCAAAAAATTAAAAATATAAATAAATACATATGAACATACATTTCCTCTGGATATACTTAGTATAAATATGTAAATATTAGGTTGTCAGAAAAGTCATGATGTATTTTTTCTATGCAAAAAATGTATCATGACTTTTCTGACAACCTAATATATACCTTTTCCTTTTTTTTCCATGTTCTAGTTTCAGCTTTTTAATTATTTTTCAAACTTACTGTATTCTTTAATGATTGAGAGTCCATGTGTGAGAAAGAAACATGCTTGATACTGTCTTGTCACATTACAGTCCCCTTCCCCCAGCCCACTAGCTCCCACCCTTCCTATCCTAGGTGCCCTCATACATATTAACATGTTTTTAGGTCAGTCTGGGGATCTAAACTCACAGTCAGCCATATGGCTTCCACCCTTGAAGGATGCTGTATTACTGTGTTTGACAATGGCTGGGTTTAATGTCAATTTCCTATATGCCCAAATATAAATATCATGACAAGGCCCATAAATAGACTGTTGACTCTCTCTAAATATAAAGAGCATGACAAGGCCCATAAATAGACTGTTGACTCTCTCATTTTGTATAATTTTATTATTGTAACTCAGCAAGGTTTTGAGGGTTCTTTTAAAATAGTCATTTGGAATAATTGGCTTTTATTCTTTACAAAAACAAACAAACAAAACTAAAAGACTTTAAATGTCCTGAATAATCTCCATACATGTTGCTGTTAATGTCACCAGCTCTGTCAACTATATCTCAATTTTTCTATAGATTTGTTTTTTAAAGCTTTACCTTTGCAACTGTCAAATTTTATCTTCTTAGTTTAGGCCTACTGCTTCCTCCTGGAATCCAGGCTTCTGTTTATTATCCTTTCAACTTCAAGTCTTTGACAAATATAGAATCCTGCCCTCTATGGTATAGAATGAATTCTCTGTAGGGTCCAGTGCTTGTCTCTGTTGCTCAGCACTTGTGGTTGAAACCATGTAAGTGAATGCATGTATTGTACCACACCATTACAGGCAGTACAGGTCAGACCATGAGCTAAGGCCTCTGTGCATTTGCTTAATCTCATTCAATTCACACAGCCTGGGCTGCAGCTACTTAGGTCACCTGATGCCTGAGGTCACATAAATGCTGATAAATACCAGAGCTGCAATATGAACTGAGTCTGAGCTATTAAGTTTCACAACTCATTTCAGTTATGATATAGCCAACTTTTATCTCTGATTATTTATCTTATTTTCTATAGCAGAAGGATTAAATAATATGATTCAATGCTGATTGTAATAAGACATATCTTTTATGACTATGGAAAAAATATAGCCATACTTAATATTGATACATTTTCCTTTTTTATTCCCTAGAAAGAAGAAGTTATCAAACTCATTATTGAAATATGTGGTAAGATTTGACTTTCAAAGAAAAAAATCACTTTTCTTGACTATCAAGAAAAAATAATCACCTCCACTATATACTAAGTTGGCAAGACAATGTGTTTACCCAGAAAATGTTTATCATATAGCTATGGGGAAGTTTAAAGTGCATTTGAAAAGTCAGCGGAGAATGACAGGAACAGAGAGGCTATGGGAATCCTGATTTAAGAAAAAAACAAACATCTTCCAAGACCGGTTACAGAGCATGAAGCTACCAACCTAGAAAGGGTAGGCAGTAGGTATTTTTATAAGCATAGTGCTCATTGTATTCAGTGACATTTACCTGAGCTAAGAAAGAAAAATACAGCAAAGGAAATATGACTATGAGAGCCCAGCTGATACTTGAGTCTATCCTGGCTGGTAATTATAATGTTTGTCTTTCCCAAAGTCAAGAAGTCTTTCTGAATTGAATTTTGAGTACTGTGTCTAGAACTGCTCTCAATCTCAAAGCAGAAAGATGGAGTTAGAAGTTCATTTTGTTTCCCAACTATGTCAAAATACTCTCATGGCTGGATACTTTAAATTTAAAATAGAGTTCTCAGAAGAGGAAATAAAGAAAACAGATTAGACAAAAGGCCAGAGATTGATGGAATAATGATGACAGAAACCTGTGTTTAAAGTGGAAAGAGGCAGGAATATAATTGTCCTTCCATACTGAGAAACCAAGAATTGACTTGTTCCCTAAAAGTCTTCTGGACTTAAGAACCAGTCTGGGACTCTCTATAACAATAACCCAATTAAGAAATGGCTTCTGGGTATAAACATCCTGTAACAGTAGCTCCTGATTTCCTGATGTTTTTCTATAGTTGGGCTGTTGGGTGACATAAAGATATAAAATAAAGGCAATCCTGATAATTAAATTTTTATTTTCTGGCGACTCTGCCAACTATTTTGAATGTTCTAAGCAGAGACTTATTGACCAGCTGACTTTGGGATTACTTCTTTCAAAAGTTGTTTTTAGGGAACCAGCAGTTAGCGTAATGGCTATGTCACTGGACTCCCACGTAGTCGACCGCGGTTCGTGTCCTGGACCCGGTGGCTTAAAACTCACACCGGGCGCGTGTGCGTGTGTGCCTAAGATCCCGAGAGGAGAATGGAGGAGAAGGGATTGCGGCGTGACCATCCCCCCTGGGGGGTGATTTCTTGCTTTCTGTCTCTATGTCTCTCTCTGTCTGTCTGGCGAGCACACGCGCCCCACAGTGAAAATCTCTCCAAAAAAAAAAAAAGTTGTTTACATACTGGAGAACAAAGATTTTAATCTTCAGTGGCTTTGAAAAGTTTCATACGTATTCAAAAACAATTTACTGAACCAGAATTTTTTTTTAAATATAGTGATTTTTCTGGCAGGCACAAAGGAAAATACAGTGTGAAGGCAATACCGAGTGAAGTTTAATTGCATGGAAATCAGAGTCACAAGACATTTTCTTAGTTCTGCATATTACTGGTTCTGTGAGGTTGGGCAGATTGCTTAGCTCTTTAAAGCCTCAGTTTCCCTAAAATGGAGATTAAAAATACTCGTCTCTTGAAATTAATGTGTTAGCTATCTAATAACTGGGGATAATACTCATTAAATGTAATTCTGGCTATTTACAATGAAAAACACCACCACCACAACATCTACCCTTTGAAGATAAAGTGCTGTAAGGAAAGATCTAATGTTCCAATGGCAAGAAGGATTGAATGAAATTGAAAGAGGGAGGGGACAGTAGGTATTATTGACAATGTCTTATCATGTCACCATCCTTCAGCCCCACAGTCAGCCAGGATCTCAGGTGCTCAGCCTGCTTAGGTTGGGCCAGGAACTGAACCAAAGCCACAGTGCAGCAGCACCCTCTTGCCTGTGTCACCCTGGCTGGGCCCTCCTAAAGCTTTTATAGTGTGAATGGACTACTAGCTTTTTTGAAAACATGAAAGCCACCATAGTTGTGGGTGATTGAGGACATAAACTTGAGTAGTTAGAAGTAGCTATATTCTTGTGTGCAGTTTAGACCCCAGTCTTTTCTCTACAATTAAAAATTTTCATTACTTTATGTCATCTATTGGCCATGACAGTAAAAAAAAAAAATGTCCATTTTCATTTAGGGAAATGGTTGAGGACTTAAAATATCAACTTTCACATTAAATGCAAATGATGGAATGATAAAGAGTAAATTAGGGTTAGTGGTTATTTCTTGGGGAGAGGAATGTAATTAGTAAGGCATACACAAGGCCCAATAGCTCTTTTTTTTTTTTTTAAATTTGCTAGAGGCACATATGCTCCCTGGAGAGAAATAGAGGGAAAGTGATAAAGCACCCCCCCCCATGGGGGGATTGCATTGCCACAATCCCTTCTCCTTCACCTCCTCTCTTGAGATTTTTGGCATACATGCACATGTACCTGGTATGTTTTTCAAGCTGTCAGTCTTGGAGCCAAACTGTACAGTTGACCATGTGGGATCTAGCCAAGTTAACCATCACACCACCACCTGGCTTCATGATGACTCTCTTAAAAAAATTTCTTAATGTGAATATGGGCATATATATATTATTTGATCCATTATCAGCTCTTTTAAATATATTTTTGGAAAAGAGTCAAGTATGGAAACCAGAGGGAGACAGTTGCCAGCTGTTTCCACAGTCATAGAAGAGAGAGATAACAACTCAGGACTGTCCTTGCCATTCTCTCCCCTCCTAGTCAGTAATGCTTTTGTTTTCATGTTGCAATGTTTCTCTCTAAACATTTGTCTTTTAGGTTGTGGCCCCAAATGTAAAGAGACTCCACTAGAGCTAGTATTTGTAATTGATAGCTCAGAAAGCGTGGGGCCAGAAAACTTTCAGATCATCAAGAATTTTGTGAAGACGATGGCAGACCGGGTTGCTCTAGACCTTGCCACAGCCCGCATAGGCATAATCAACTACAGCCACAAGGTGGAGGAGGTGGCTAACCTGAAGCAGTTCTCCAGCAAGGATGACTTCAAGCTGGCTGTGGACAATATGCAGTACCTGGGAGAAGGCACCTACACAGCCACTGCCCTTCAAGCAGCCAATGACATGTTCAAGGATGCAAGGCCAGGTGTGAAGAAGGTGGCCTTGGTCATCACCGATGGGCAGACAGATTCTCGGGATAAAAAGAAACTTACAGAGGTGGTGAAGAATGCCAGTGACACCAATGTGGAGATATTTGTGATTGGGGTGGTTAAGAAGAATGATCCCAACTTTGAAATATTCCACCAAGAAATGAATCTAATTGCTACTGACCCAGAGCATGTTTATCAATTTGATGACTTCTTTACCTTACAAGGTGAGGCTGACTGTTCTGGGGAAAGGAATTTATATTGTTTGATCAAATACCACACCACTGGATTATACTTACCAAACAGGGGAAGCAGGAGGTTAATGAGGCTTATGCCAACATTAAATGGAACACATTGACTGCAGAAGGTAAAAAAAAATATTTAGTATCATCCAGTTTTGTGGATAAAGACCTCCCTTGTCTTTATTCACACATAGTAAGTGCTGTGTTGGCTTTGCATTTAACTCGGTTGTTCATGGTCAATGGACAGGAATAGAGAGAATAGAATTTGAGAAATTGCTAAGATTGGTTACTATTCAGAAAGTTACCTAGATTAAGGGTTGGCAAAGTCAGCAATAAGGCAGGAAATGAACATATAATCAAAATGAGCTAAGTGCCTAATGAATAAATAAAAGTTCTGATAATCTAAAGAGATGAGAAACTAATATAAATGGAATTACATAGAGTTATGTACTGGTCTCTATTTTTATGAAAACATAATGATGACTATACAAGTTGACATCAGGAATTTATCCCAAAGGACAACCATTTGGATATTCCTCATATAGTTAATGCTAACTTGATGATCTTCCCTGTGCTAACATTATCCTCTCACATCAATATTTACTAATGAGACATCCTAAGTCACTGACTCACATATGATTAAATTATGACCAATATAGTTTTACATTGAAACATATTCCCATTCTTTGTAAACTGATGACTTGTTCCACTAATGCCCATACCGGCAAGCTCGTGAAATAAGTAAATTATTCTTATAATATAACTGTGGGCTTATTCTGTTTTCAGCCCGCAGTTTCACTCCATCCTTCCTCTCCCACTCACATGGGAGTGGGGCCTGACATGGCTGGGCACAGACTCTCAATGCCTTATGCCCTTGCCCTCTCCTGATCCTAGCACAGACCATGCTAAGGATAGTGTTTCATATCCAAAAGTTTCCCATCTTCTATTTCCCCTCCTTCCTAAGGCCTCTCTAACCAGAGGATCTATTTCCTCAACACCCTGCTGGGTAAACTGGTGGGTTTGTCTGATAAATTCAATCTCACTGGGCTGTTAATGTGTTAGGATAGCCAAAAGTATTACATGATTCAAAGACAATTTATATTTTAAAAAATTGAAAAGCTTTGTCATTTTGTCTAAAGGAATTAATAATTTATTATAACCAGCAAGGAATATATTTTTGGACTGGCTAGACTTTTGCTATCCCTAAATCCATAGGTAATTGCCTTCAACTTGTTACCCCTTTACATAGAGCAATGCCCAGTCAACAGACACTTTGGGTAAACAGCATTTAAGTCATTCTTCTGCCCAGTCCCCAGACACTTTGGGTAAACAGCATTTAAGTCATTCTTCTGCTTCTTTGTAACATTGTATATTATTAAATTAAATTAAATTAAATCATTTTAGATGGCCTCTATCTGTAAGAAGTCATATAAAATATTTTATCTGTTCACTTAGCAGTTGATTTCAAGTAGTGAGAAAATATCTGCTTGTTTCAAAGGCAGATCTCTTCAGTTTAAGTAATGTTTTATTGTTTCTACTATCTCCATTTTCTATTTCTTTTTTAAGACACACTGAAGCAAAAATTGTTTAAAAAAATTTGTGAGGATTTTGATTCCTATCTTGTTCAAGTGTTTGGTTCATCGACACTTCATCCTGGATTTGGGATGTCAGGGGAAGAGCTCAAACTATCTACTCCAGCACCACAAAAAGAAATTTCTGAGTCAGTAAGTAACTGTTTTGCTTACTTTGTGAGCTTAAATGGCATATTCCATTTTTCATCAAAAATCATCTTGTGCTGTATTGCCAAGAATCTGCTGGGATATGTGTATTTTGAAGTCCTTGGCTCTAAATGTTTGCACCTTGATTCTAGATTTAGAATTGTGAAATATCTGAGGCTTGTAAACATGAATATGTTTTTTTTTTAAGTTTTTCTGCTTTTTAAATAATTGTTTATCTAAAGTTTCAAATAATATTTTTTATATTATACCCCTTTTCCTCCAAAGTAATATGTATACCAGAACAGATTAACACTACACTATTTGAATTCATCCATTTGCCATGGTTTGCAGATTCTTTCATACAAGGGCTCAATTCTCCCTCATTGTTCTGTGCATCCACTCCCCACTTTGTACTCTCTCAAGTTTTTTCATGGTGTACACATAACCAACTGGTCACTCTCCCATACTCCATGCCTTGATCTTGCTCATTTATCTCCCATCTCCTGTGTACACAGTGCGAACTGGGTTGTTTATGCATGTGGTACATGATAGTGCTTTATGTCAGAGCGCCCCAGTCATGCAACATGAGAAGAAAGACCTTCTGAATGTATCGAGACTAATGTGACTGTTCTCATAGTGAGCTTCTAGCTACTGATTTAAGCTAAAGATCATGAGAAACTATTAGGTTCTTTTAAGTGAAAATTGGGAGCCTACCATAGTTACTAGTAAGTGACTGCTATAGTCCCATCTCCACAAAATTATAACTAAACCAAATCTATATTGATTTCTACTATCCATATGGCCATCCTCTGGTAAGCAGGCACATAGCAGTGTTGCCCCATTCTGTAAGTTTGAGAAAGTTCCTGCACTGGCCTTTTATGAAGACTTTGTGTACATGAAAGAGTCATCGTGAGCAAATGTAGCAATATCCTAGAGTCAATATTTAGTCAACTCTCTCATTGGATCAAGGTCCCAGGAAACATCCAGATCAGCAGTTGTACCCAGAACCATTCAGGAATCACCTAGGATGCCATTTCTGTGGTACAGAGCACAGAGCTCACTAAATTTTTATGCTCAGTTCAAAAAAGGGCAGAATATATTTATATTTTATTAAATGTTAGCTTTAGCTGAACCTGAAATGAGTTAGGGCAACAGACTGTCTCTGGATTGTAGATTGAAATTAACACACATTTATACCATGTGGTCTATATGAGGGGTCAGCAAATTGCTTTTGTAAAGGGCCATGTACTGAATGTTTTTGGCTTTGCAGGCCATTCTGTTTCTGTTCTATTATTCGACTCAACCGTTAATGTATAGAAGTGGTTACAGACTACTTAAATGAATGAGCTTGGCAGTGTTCTCACAAAACCTGCTTACAAAACCACATGGAGACTCTGATTTGGCTCACTGGCATTTGCAATTTCTGGCCTATACTGAGCATTTTAAAGTAAATTACAGATAATAATATCTGTTTCTTCCTGAGCATGGACTGCTACTAAGGCCTTGCTTGTTTATGTAACCTACCACTTTGTCCCTTCTTTGGTCACTTCATGTCCTTTTCTGAAGTTTTCCTAAACAAGAGCAGGCTCATGTTTCATCGAGCAAGTGATGTTTAAACCGCCAATGAGATTTAAATCGAGCCTTCCTCATAATCACTGAATCATATTTTTGCCTTTTTTACCTAAAGAAGTTTTATTTTTCATATGGGTGAAAAGCAAAACATATGTGATCATTTTTAATACACACTACTTTTTTGTCATATTAAAACAAATTAATTCCAGTAGCACATCTTGAGCACTTACTGTGGTAAGTGGTTGCTCTCAATACGTTTCTGCCCAAGAAGATTCTGTAGTCTATCGGGGAGACAGATAATGACAAGACACCTTAAAAATTCTAGCAGAGCCATGGAGGAAACATAAGAAAAAGATGATGTAATTAATTTCAGGAGAGAGTAATGAAAAGTGCTTTAATCTGCTTGGCTTACTGTAACAAAAGTACCATACACTGATTAGCTTAATAACAAGTATTTATTTTTCTCAGTTGAGGCTGGGAAGTCCAAAATCTGGTGTTTGGTGAGGGCTTACTTCCCAGCTTGTAGATAACTGGTGCCTTGTTTTGTCTTGACATGGCTGAGAGATAGCTCATCTCTCTCATGTCTCTTCTTATAAGGGATTAATCCCACCCATGAAGGCTCCAACCTCTTGAGCTAATTAATTACCTCTCAAAGGCCTCATCTCCAAATACCATTGGGGTTTCAGGTTTCAATATATGAACATTGGAGGGATGCAGACAAGTCATCTATAACAGAAGGCTTCACAGAGGAAGTGGCGATGAGCCGAGTTTTCAGAGTAATTAGATGTTTTTCAAGGGAAGAGTAGGAGGAAGAGTATTTCTAGCAGAAGGAACATGTGATCAGAGCAACCACAAAATGGCAGAGCATTTCAAGAACAAATTCAGTTCAACTGTAGTGTATGGTTTGAATGGCAGAATGATGAGAGTTGAAGTTGGACAAATCATTTGAGAACTAATTATAAATGATTTCATGTGTCAAGCCAAACGGTTTGAATTTCATTCATAGGCCAGGAGATAGCAGAGGTTTTTTTGAAGCAAAGACCATACAGTCATATTTGGTTCACAGAAAGAATAGCCCTGGTGCAGTGTGAAAGATAATGAGGAGAAGGAGGTAAGGAAACTAGAGATTGGCATATGAAGTATGATAGTCCAGGTAAGAGAAAACAAAGCCCTAAATTAAGATAGGGGAAGTAGAAATAGAAAAGAGGCACAAAGGGGGAAGCCATTTCTAGGGTAGAATGAACAGAATTTAGTGATTGAATGGATTGGAGGTTAGGAAGGAGTCTGGGTATGATTATTGGGGTTCTAGTTTGGAGATGAGATAGATTGAAAACCCATATACAGAGATGGGGAACATAGGATACAGGGTGGTTTGTTCGTTTGTTTGTTTTTAAGAAAAATAATGAGTTTCAGTTGGCAGCATAAAAAGTAGAGGTGCCTGGGGGACATCTAAGGCAGTTATGGCACAAAACGAGCAATAACCAGACCATATGCCTCTGGTGTCATGTCCCAGAAAGTCCAATGGACCTGAGGGACAAGTGACATTAACAGATTATGACAGACAGTAAGCTGTGGACAGGAGGGCATAAGAAGAGTATATCCAAAATAGTTTGGATATATAACACTAAAAGCCACAGGAGGAACTCAGTCATCAGCTGATCAAGGTAGTGGGAGCTGGCATTTAACTTTCTTCTCTTGGATAGCCTCTCACACATACATATATATATACACATACATACACACACACACCTATACGTCTCTATATATACATACACATATGTGCACACGTAATACATGTATATGTGTGTATATATATAGTATATACACTTATACATACAAACATGTATTTATATCTCTGTTTATGCACACCTACCTTTATCTGATAGGTATAATTATGGTTTCCAGGGCTGGTAGGTGGCATGGCAGTTAAGGGCACTGGACTCCCACATGGCTGACCACAGTTTGGGTCCCAGACCTGGGGGCTTACTGTCTCACTTTCCCTCTCTCTCTTGCTCTGTCCCTCTCTGGTCAAATTTAAATAAATAAATAAATAAAGTTAAATAAAATAATTATTTTAAAATAAATTATGGTTTTCAAATATCTAACGTAAAGCGAATCTGTCAAAACCTTTAGCTTCTCAGATTGTTCGTGAGTTGCTCCTAGGCAACACTGCAAAGCAAAGTAAATGATCTCAGAAGTCCCATTTCCCTCTTGGTTATCCCTTTCCTTTCTCTGTTGTTTCTTCTGTCACTCTCTTAAGACACCTACTTATTTCTACCTTCATTCTCTTCTTTCTACCAGAATCTATTCCTAGGGCAAAACCTGCCATCATTTATTTACACTTTAGTGTGAAATCTAAGTCAATAGTTTTCTACTTCAAAGAAGGACTAACATTGTAAACATCTAATGGTGGAGGGAGACTTGATTCTGACTCAGATAAAAAGTGGAGGTGCCGGGGACATCTAAGGCAGTTATGACAATAATAGGTAGAAATAGACATGTACTGGGATGTAGAAAGCAGAAGAACCCTCCCCCCAATCTATTAATTGTATAACCCTTGACCAAATCAGTGCTATACCTACTGCTAAACTAAAAAAAAAAAAAAAAAAAGAAGCTTTTCTTCAGTGAAAGGCACCAATTACCTTGTTATAACAAGGACTGTAAACATAAAAAGATCCTATCTTTTGTGAGAGTAATAATGTTAACATTTTAGGCTTTATCGTTTTTGGACTTGGCTACTTGGGTTAAGATTTCCAGGATATAAACGGGAGTGGCAGAAAAAAACCAAGTAAATATTTAATCAAGCCTACTGACTAAATCTAGAAATCTAGTAATCACCTATTAAGCAAGTAAGTGTGTTAAATTCCTGTATGTAGTCACTTTTTGTCATTCTAAATGCTTTACTAAATAATGTCAGCACATAGGGTGTTTATTCATTGGAGTTGATTTCTTGTGATAATACTTAAGATCTCTAGGTTTTAAAGAAGTAAAAAGAAAAGAATCCTTATCTACCCTTTCAAAAAACTGCCTTTTTAAAAAATTTAAATTTTAAAGAAAGGGAGAGACAGAGAGACAGAAAGTGAGAAGTCACTGCCCAGGATGGACCGCCATACCGCAAGCCCTTCTCCTTCATTCTCCTCTTGGAATCTTGGGCATGCACGCACATGTACCCACTGTGAGTTTTAAGCCACCGGGTCTGGGACTCGACCATGGTGGACTATGTGGGAGTCCAGCAACCTAACCATTACGCCATCTACTGGTCCCCAAACTGCTTTTTTTGTATCATGAAAAGTTGTTCCCTGAGAATAACTTAGATAACTGGTTGCAGAGATTTCTTCCCTTCTGTAGGAGACTGTAGAGAGTGATTCCACAGCAACTTAGTGACTGACATGGCCAAGCCAGCATGAGAAGAAGGCTTCTGTGTTGTTCTTGCT